ACCTTAACGCTTTCCCTGGAGATAGAAAGGAACTCTGTGGGATTCCTGATACGCATCAGTAGGGGAAGATTGGTGGCATGGTGTAATAGTTATGTTGGTGCAACTGAAATATAAAGCATTCTTTTTAGGTGCGGTGCGGGGGGATGATTGTGTGTGTATAGTAGAAAAAGGTATGTTCTGTTGTTAAAAGCAAATAGATACACATGAAAACATCTTATAAGACTAACATTGCCTTCAAAGCAGTTGACTTCACTTTTTTTCCTTTTTGAAAAATAATAATGTAGAATCCAAGAAATGGTATTAGTAGAAGGGAACTTCTTAAAGAAATACTTAAAATTGTAGGATGGAGTAATATTTTTTTTTAATCTGTGTTTAATTTGTAAACTAACTACAAAATTAAATTTCTGTACTCTTTCATCACTCCAGATTCATAAAGTTGCTTTGCTGTAGGGCCATTAAGGGCATAAAAAAGGACTGCATGCATAAGTTACATCTATTAGGATTGAATGGGTATCACTTGCTCCAAACCCTGCCCTTTTCTTGGTTCTCTGAGGTATTGAAATAACTGGAGGTCAACCAGACTTCTTTTGTAGTCTTTTTAATTGTAATTGCTACCTAAAGGCACTGGGTAATTACAAGTAAAGATCTCATTATTTGAGGTACTTCTAGCTTTTATCTTAATATGTCAGAGCAGGGCACTAGCTTGATTATACAAATGTTGACATAACATCCTTAACAGTTAAGGTCAAATGAGGCCTTCTATAGTTGCTTTACTTGTTGCTAATGTGAAACGGGAGTATTGAATAAGTGCTAATCACTATTTTAACCACTCAATGGTATATAAACACACCTATGTTTTCACATGAACCGGTTCATTCCATATGTCTGGATCTAATATTGCCACATGTATGTTGGTTTCAGTAGATTGTGTATCAAATTGCAATAATAATGAGCTTAATCTGTACTAAGTCTGGATTTCAGGTAGTGAAATTGTTAGTTCATTACAGCCATTTTTCACTTGCTTGTATCTAAATTAAAACTGAAATCCCTACACTGGAAGCTTTTTGATTATTCTGTGGTTCATTGCTAGGGAAGAGGGCATTTGCCGTTGCAAATATGTAGTAGGAAATTATTACGATAGTGTAAAGAGTATGGTAAGTCTGAAATAGTTGGTGACTACAAACCATGAAGCTTAAAGTAGATTTGCAAGTTCAATGGTTCCATGTGCTGCTGAGATGAAACTGCAACTCTGGCTCATCAGCATGGTAGGGAACCCCTGCAAGACTGAGCAGGGTGTTCCTCTGCTGCAGGGAGTTCTACTGGATCATGAAGCTGGTCTTGTGACAAGTAGTACTGGTACTCACTAGGGAATAGTAAGCCATTGGGAGGAAGGTGGAAGTGACTGGGATTCTGCTTTTTCATTTGAATTATCCCATGAGACAGCAAGTCCTGTGAAAAGAGCCCACCGTCCTTGAAACGAAACGCCTTGCTTTTCCTAGGTCTTTGCTATGTGGTTCCTCCGCTTCCTTTGTGCAGGTACTTGCTGTACCAGTAGTGGCTAAGCCACTTCCAATCACTAACCCGGAAGGAGAATATTCTGGTTTTGTTGGATTAGTTTGACATCCAGTTAGTAGACTGAACTTAGTCATGATGAAGTCCGGTGAGCCCCAAAGCTGTGGTTAAGGTTAAGGAAGGGGAAGAGCTTGCAGCTGTGAGCCAAGAACCTAGAAAATGATGTGAGAGAGAAGAGGAATTTCTCTTTGGATGGTCATTAGCTTAGATTAGATCACCCACAGATGGACTGATTGAAGTAAATATGATTAAACACTGCAAACCTGTCATTTGTTTAGTGTGTAGATTTTCTGTGGTAGAAATAAAGTGTTGAGGGAAAGAAGAAGAAGAAATACATTACAGAGTACCCGATACAGTCAGAAGCAAGATGACTGTCAACCCTTGACTGTTCATTTCAACCCAGCAGCAGTTGTCTGGTGCATCCTTTCTGAGCATTTCCCACCTTTTTGGCTGCTTTTGCCTTGGTCAAGAACAGGGGTTGCTTTCTATTGTCAAGAGTCTACTTCGCAGCAGTTTATCTAAATATAATCTGTCACTGCTAGAGCTAATGTTTTGACTTTCTGTATTCTTCCACCTGTCAGAAAGAGCCAGAACAACCCTGGTTGCAGCATGAAAGGACAAAGCTCTATGTAGAAAGCTCTGAATATAGTATGATAATGTATGGAAGAATACACTTGCTTCTAGGAAATGCGGAACTAACAAAATACAGTACTTCTGATATGAATAAAAAGAACAGGAGAGTATGTAGAATACACATGGGTAGCTTAAGTGGTTCAATAGATAACTCATCTGTCTGACTTCCATTAGAAATAGCAAACTCCCTATGTACAGAGCCGTTGTGTGATATTGGGCCTGTTGCTCAGTTTGTACCTGGGCATCATCACTGACTTCTGCGCATGACCTCTCTTTCCCCGCCAGGCTTTCACGTTTAGGCTATGTCTAGGTCTTGATGTAGGTTTGTGTACTATCTTCAAAGTGCTTGAACAGGAAGGTAATGTAACTTACACTCTGTCCATCCTGTTCCGACTATTATATTTTGATTGTTTTGCTGAAGTCTGATTTCTGGCTGTAAAGTGCAATATTACCCTGCTTTTACCCATAATCTGTATGGGTAGTTTTGCTACTCTGTAACTTGGATGGCATCACCATTCCCATAAAATGTGGGCCACTCCTGAGGAATTGTATAGATTATGCCTGTTGATCATCTCTTGAGTGCTATCAGCAAGTATGTTGTCTGCTTCTCTTAGTAAAAGTTGGAGTTAGCCAAAGCTAATTGCTAGATAAGTACCTGCAAATGAGCACTTTTGCTTTCATCCATATTGCCTTTCACTGTTGTAAACATCTGGTTTGTTACTGTAATGCTTTCTGCAAAACCATGGCTTTTTGTATACCTGTGAAAAGCTTGACAGCTATCCATCCATCTTCTGGTGTATAGAGTTTCAGTACAATATGATTTATTTGGTTCTTTTGTACTCCTGTCTGGCTTTATACCCTTCATTTCTTATGGAGCTTACTAACTGCTCACGTTCCCAGAACTTGGAGCACCCAGTATGCTGGCTCCTGGCCTGTGTTGGAGCTGCCTCTGCAGACCTGTCAAGTAAAGCTGTGGTTGAACCTGGTGACAAAACTGCATTTCAATTAAATGTGGAGAGGAAGGGGCTGTGGGAGCAGAAATGCGCATAGGAAAGCTGAAGAATTGAACAAGAACATTAATTCTGAAAATTGAGCATTCAGAGGATGTAGTAAAATTATTTGTGCATTGAATATAAAACATACACCTCATTTAAAAATAAAAAGGAATTTATGCCTTAGTTACAGTTACAAGGAAAAAGAAGCTAACAAGCTTTTTTCTGTGCTCATCTGAGAGTAAGAAGACAAAACGGTTTGGTGGTTTGGTTTTTTTTTTTTTGTGGCAGACTTTTTTTTTTTTATTCTGGTTGGGGTCAATGTGTTTTACATCAAAAGAACTCTAAAACTGACAGCTATTGTTGACCCATCATTTCAGGATTCATCAACTGTGAAAGAGGAATGGGTTTCTTGAAATATCAAAAGTGATTGGCCTGTGCTATTGAATTTGGCACACATTTAATTATTCCTGCAAGAGGCGGTACTCAGATTCAGGGGTATCTCCCTGCCTTGATCCATCACTCCTCAGTGACGGTCTTAAAGAAGTAGCTGTAGAGCATGGAGAGTAGGACCTGCAAGCCTGGGCGGGCTACCTTGTGTGCGGCTGCCCAGGAGTGCAAAAGGTAGCATCAAGCTGGAGGACAGTGGGTGGCTTGTCTCCCTCCTCTCGGCATGAAAGTAGGGGCTGAGGAAAGAGACCAGAGCTGCAGAGAGACTTCCAAGTGTGTGCATGAGGTACAGGGGTAGGAAACAAAATGAGCAGAAGAAAGAAAAGAACATTTGTCATTAACTGCACAATTTTCTTCTGATTGTTATAATTAGTAATAGCTTTGGGAATCTTATCAATGTTCTCTAATAAGATTACAAGAAAAACTTTTCTGTTTGTTCCAGCTGGAAGAAATAATAAATGTAGTAAACAATGGCTGTATTAAAATCTAAAAATGGCTTGTAGCTAAAATTCTTTCTTAGGTAATCCTAGCTCTTAACTTCTTCCATCCCCTGTCTGTGAGCATGCATCTCAGATCTAACAAACCCCTAGAAATCACTGTCAAATATTTGAAATAACTGCTTGACTCGGAAGATTTAGAAATATCACTAATAGCATTTTTCTTTTCTTCTGGAAAAGAGGCTGCAGGAGCTCCTCGGTAGGTTTTACCACACTTTGTGGAAGCACTCTGTATCACAGCAGCTGAAAACATCAATGATTTTTGTCTTCCCACATAATTTCTTAGTGCGTTATATCTGTCCTTGAAGTGCTGTTTCCCAAAATACACAGTTTGTGATTCACTGTGGAAAAACCCTTTTCTTAAGGGTTTGTCTAAGCATTGTAAATATTGGAAATCTTTACTGCAAAGAAGGCTAATATTATGATACTGGGAAAAGCTGGGATTCAGTTAGCAAAAATGGTTAAAATATGCAGTTGTGTATTGTTCTACAATGGCCATCAATATTTTTTTTTTTTATTGTCTCTACCAACAAAATACTGATGAAAAGGACAACCTAAGTTAGGGAAAGGAGAATAAAGATCTGTGCATTTCAACTTGGCATTGGCAACAAATGCTGTTTACAAACTGAAATGGGTTGTACAGGTCCAGACTGGCCAAAAGCAGTCAGCTCAAACTTAGAGAGATGTGCTTAAACGACTTAATCAGATTTGTT